TTGCGATTCAAGTTTCAACATTTTGTTTAGAAACCAAGCAGAGAGGACTGGAGAGGTGGCCTGGACGCATTATCCTTTTCCCTGGAATACCAGAAGTCCTTGAACACATGTGTTCTTGACGTGCACCGCCGGGCTGGCAACCACAACGACCCACACGTAAGCTTGGTCCTGATCTTGGATAAATGCTTTCTTTTTTTAAAACTTGCTGCAGAGCTGTGTAATCAACTCCAAGTTTATATTTATTTATTTTTATCCTCTTTGTCTTTTGTAGCTGTGCGATTTCCTTGAGCAGGACTTCCTCATAGACAGCCATGACACCATCAAGAAGCTGGGCGACTACATTGGCAGTCTAACCCGTCTCACTACTTCTGAGCCTCATGGTGCCATGGGAGAATACCTGTTTGATAAACACACCCTGTAAAGATGCACTCCTTATTTACCAAATATAGCGATGAGAAGTCAATGGTGCATTTCCGTTAAGATTACCAAGATTTGCACAGTTTACCCCAAACTACAGTCTTGTACCAAAGGCACAAGAGAAAGTCAGGCAGGTTACGTAGAAATACCTCACTTTTTTGAATAACATATATATCTTTAAAATATCTTTAAAAAAAAAAGTTACAGTGAATTGGGTTACTTGTTCACTCGATTCTTATCATGTCATGCATTCCGTTATGTTTCAGCCTATTTTGTAAAAATGCAAACCATTGAGTCAAATCATACAAGGGATTTTAAAATCAGATTAAACCATTCATTAAAATCAGACGCCTCCAACCTTTGTCTTCTTTCCATGGCTTACTGTTAAGTCTGCTTACATGACATGTAATTATGTTTGTTTTTTGTTTTTTCTCCCATGCAATCTAAGCATGTCCCATGTCCTGTCTGTACCTGTAGGACAGTGAAAAGATAACAGCTGGACTTTACTCACAGACTCGCTCTAAGCTATAGGTTGAACATTAGACCACTGGGCATTTTGTGGTTTTTAAATGATGACAGTGCTTTTAGTGGAATTATACCTTTCTGTAAAGATAAGGTACAGGAGCAGAACCCTCAGTGTGCATCATGTCAAGGTTGTGTGCTGTTTTGCTCAGTTCATCTATTTGCTTTTTAGGCCAGAGACTACGCAAATGCCGTGTAGCTGTGACATAACACATTCCTGATCTCTTTAACTTCAAATTAAAGCTGTTAAGTCGTATGTGTGTTATAAATGTTTCTGTTAGTTTAGACAGTTGATTACATGAACCGCTAACAAAATAAATAATGCAACATGAAATTTTTTTGCAGTAAAACGGCTTTTTCTGTTTTTATTTTTGTTTTTTTCTCACAGCTGATTGGTTTCTGGAAACCCAGACACAGCAGTGCAAAGACATGGAATAATGTCTGAGTTACTGTTAAGCGTTATAAATAGAGCTTTATGTACAATGTTTAAAAGTAAATGTTAAGCCACGGGATGGAGGGATGGCATGCCCGCTCTTACTAAAAATCATTCGACTGACGGCGTGGACAGAGGATTAGTGAGAGGCTGGATGCACTCCAATCTCTTCATTTTGATGGCTATAGATAAACACGACTGCTATGAATGCAATAAACAGTCATTTTAGCAGGGGGAAGCCTTAAATCACTGTGTGTTATATTTAGAACGGTGTTGTGAGAAAACAAGTAGAATAGCTGCTGCTTTTTATGCTTTCTTGGTCAGACTAAAGCAACAGATGTGTTGTCAGCCTTCTAATATCAGGAGGAGGGGTAGTGGGGGGGATTAAATGATAACACTGCTCTCGTAATTTGCTAGTGCTTTGATAGGAAAAGGTTTCAGGGAGCCTGCCCGTCAGAGACAGCAGCATCCCGAAAGGACTGACAAGTGTTTGAGGGAACAAGCCAGCTAAAGTGGAGGTAACCACTAATATACATAAAACAAAACCAACGGCTCTTTCCGTGTCGAGGGAGTCCATCAACAGGTAAGTACGTGCTCAGATCTAAAACATTTTTGTTATGATAGAAATGCAACTGCTAAGATAACAAAAAATGTCTATTATTCATGATTACATTTTGAGCAAACCCATTCAATATAATAGTGAGTTTACTTGATATTTTCTTTGTGTCTTCACAAAAGAATTCAGGATTTGATTAATGTACAATACAAATTTTTTAAAGATTTTTCAAATTTCAACAGGAATCTTCCATTATTGGTTGATTATTAATTCTTAAACCAATAAAGAAATACCTGTCATGATGCTACAAACCCCTCTTTGTTTTTTAGTCTATCAGGTAAATCGTTTATGTGACAGACAGGTTTGGGATGGGATTTTTATGAGCTTATGACAGTGAAACTTTTCATTTTGGTTTATAATGCTGTGTTGTTTAAAGATACTGAAAGTAAATATTGCATTGGAGTTTAGTGAATAGATTAGTTGTCAAATAACTTTAAAATTCATAATGTACTGAAGTAGAATTATTGGGACTTTTTCTGACAGATAAATATAGTGTAATCCAAATAAAATGAACTAATAAAAAATGTTTTGCAAACCTCCTGAAATGGTTTTAGGGTGATCACAGATTTTGTGTGACGCACATTGATGGAGGAGACCATCCTCTAGTCATAAAGGCTTGAGAATCTGTGATTTCAGATTAATGTTGGAGGGATGGAGTTTAATCCAGTCTCTAGCAGAGACCATGATGAGAGAAAAACAGGCAAGGGATGGACGTGGAAGTGAGAGAGTGGGTTATGGGATGGTGGTTATGACAGGGTATAAATGTAACAGAGGGATTAAGGTCAGCCATGTTGAGCATCTGGCTTAGAAATACCCTGGGCCTCTGGTCTACATGGCAACGCATGAACACGGGGATTACATGGCGTACATGTGAAAATGTGACTCACTGTATGAGCCTTAGTTGACTGGCACTGATTCTGTTTTTCACAGCTGGCATGAGACTGGCTGATTTGGCCCGAGCCCGGAGGGCTGCAGAGCCATCCGAACCAGAATCGAAGGAAGCAACAGAGCCTGCTCATAATGAGCACTCTCAGTCAGAACACCATGAGCACTCAAACTCAGAACATCACCCTAGCCATGACTACAACCAGATGAAGGAGAAGTTCATGAATGAACTGCACCATCTACCAAGTAAGGGGCTCTTGTAAAGACTCCTGACATGAGAAACTAGCTCAGATCATAAAGCGCTTAGTTAGTGTTGATTTTGTGAAAACGTGCAGATAAACATTTCGTCATTTTTTTCGGTCATGACAGCAATATTCCTGCACACAAAAGTCAAAGTGGAAAAGGTGTAGAAGGATCCCTCTCCCTATCCGTTAACTCCTGCTGATGATGCATTTAATGATGAGTTTCTGCTGCTGGTACTTTGCTGGTGGCTGTTGTTGGACAGGGCCACTCCCAACAGGAAACATGTTATTAGCTGATTGTGGTGGAAGGGTGTTGCTGACCAAACACATGCTCAGCAAACTGCCCTGAGATAAGCAAGTGCATAGAAATATTGAGGTCAAGAAAGAAGCTCCAGGCCCCTAAATGTTGTTACATTTTTAAGTATGATATACATCATTACAGCAAAGAAAAAATTGTTATTGTTTTAATTTGAGTAAAGGACATCCAGTGACATACTCATACTCCCATTTCGTGTAGAATCTGATCTGTAAATTTACCTTCTTCTACAGTTCCTATGTGGGCAGTGGCAGCCATTGTTGTGGTGGTCCTTGTTTTAGTGGCATGCTTCATCTTCTGTATTTTCAAAAAATGCTGTGGGAAAACAAAAAAACCAAAGAAGGTCAGGGAGAGGAAGACAGGTCGCCGCAGAAAGGCAAAGGAAGGAGAAGGACAGGATGGAGATAAGGTGAGTTCCTACTAAAACATTCCTCCTGATTGTATGTTTCAAGATAAATGTCCACTGCACTGTTTTTTTTTTTTTTTGCTAGGACGGAGAGCCAAAGAAGGAAGGTGAAGAAGAGGAAAAAGAGCAAGAAAAGTTGGGTAAACTGGAGTTCTCCTTAGACTACAACTTCACAGATTGCCAGGTACGATCTGCATGGAAGCATCAATGGAAAATACAATCAGTCAATCAGAAATCAAATGCTTATTATATTCTTTTTAAATCACTTGGCTGATGTCATTCTGACACTTGTTTCCTCTCTGAAGCTCATAGTGGGCATCCTTCAGGCTCAGGACCTTGCTGCTATGGACATGGGTGGAACCTCAGATCCCTACGTCAAAGTCTTTATGTTGCCTGACAAAAAGAAAAAATATGAGACCAAGGTTCAACGCAAAAACCTGAGTCCTGTTTTCAATGAAACCTTCATCTTTAAGGTACCTGGTCAGCCTTGGAAATGAATGTAAAATAGAAGCCTGATCTGTATTGATGTGACAGCTGAGCTTTCAGGCTGCTATTGACATTCTGCTTCTATCGTTTAATGGGCAGAAATTGGGTCTAAGTCACCTCTTTCCCTCATCCTCACTCTTACGATGCCTTAAGGATATAACTCAAATCGCTCTGTCCATTCTCCTTCTACTCTATGCTACGTTCATTGTTACAGCCCTAAATTTAAAACCATACCTTTTCTAACTTTATGCCTTCCTCTCTAGATTCCATATGCAGGACTAACTCTATACCTTCCTCTCTAGATTCCATATGCAGAGTTGGGTGGAAAGATCTTGGTGCTGCAGGTTTTTGACTTTGATCGTTTCTCCAAGCACGATATGATTGGTGAAATAAAGATTCCCATGAACAGCATCGATTTGGGCCAGCCTATGCAACAATGGAGGGACTTAGAGGGTGGTGAGAAGGAGGAGGTAAAATCTAGTGTCTTTATTTAACTGTAATGGTAATTTAAGATTTTGAGGAGAAATGTTTTTACTAAAAACATATTTGAGGCGTAGAATTTCTATGGTAATTTTTTACTAAATAACTCAGTTTAATACATAAAAGGAAAATAAAGAAAAAAAACAGCCATATTGGCATGTTCTGAACTATATATTTAGAATATCTTTTAAATCTTTGAACATTTTCTCAAACTTGTTTTCAGCAAGAGGTACTTGGAGATATTTGCATCTCTCTACGCTATGTACCCACTGCTGGGAAACTGACAGTGAACATCATGGAGGCAAAGAATCTGAAGAAAATGGATGTTGGAGGCTTATCAGGTAACCAGGCCTCAACGCACTGACTAATTTTACATCCTATCAAATATTTTTTTAAGTGATCAGAATGCAAAAATGACAGTCACAGAAAAAAGAGGCATACCCTTTTCTTTTTTTTTTGCCAGACCCATTTGTGAAGATTGTTTTACAACAAAATGGGAAGCGTATTAAGAAGAAGAAGACAACAGTGAAGAAAAACACACTTAACCCTTACTTTAATGAGAGTTTCAGCTTTGAAGTCCCCTTTGCCCAAATACAGGTAAGTTTATATCATTCACCAAAATTAAATGAGAAATGATAGTGTCATAGAGTGTGGTTTACCTTTAGACATTTTATCCCTTTTTTTTCTTTCAGAAAGTACAGGTTGTCATCACAGTATTTGACTATGATAAACTTGGGAGCAACGACGCCATTGGGAAGACCTTTATGGGTTATGGAGCTACGGGTGTGGGCCTGCGTCATTGGTCAGATATGCTTGCTAATCCCAGACGTCCAGTGGCCCAGTGGCACACTCTCCTGCCTGAGGAAGAAGTTGATGCAGCACTTAAAGCAAAACCTCGTTAAAGTTTTACCTTTATGGGATGGGAAATTATGCTGGGATGCTCTCTTTTTTTGGTGTTCAACCTGTTTTGTTTTTTTCTCTTTGAATGACATAGTGCGTTCTACTTACACTTTGTTTTTCAGAAGGGTTTTAGAAAGCTGTTGGAGCTGTGTGTGCTCTCAGAGTGGATTGGGTGTTTTGATGCCCTACGGATAGAGGCACTGCCATCATAAAAGTCATTACAGTAGGATAGAAATATGGTCGGATTAAGGTGTTCTCTGTACCGATTTGCAGTGACTTCTTCCATTTGGGCAAATATACCAAAGTCTTTTCAGCGAAATGCTAACTTCACTGCAGAGATAGAAGTTGTCGTCTTTGTCACCTGTCTGTACTGCTTGTATGTGTGTGTACATGTACAAGTAATGTGATTTTTATTTTATTTTTTACAATTACAAAACCCTTGACTGTACCTTCCACTGTTAACCAGCATGACTGAAAACTTTGTTGTTATTCGTCCTTTGCCTTGTGTAGCCTTTGTATTTGGATGTATAAAGAAATTATTTGCGTAACTACTCTGTTATTTGTAATGTTTGTTCACTCTGATGGTATGACTTTGTTTCTGGATTTCATTCTCAGTAAACCGGGCCTTTTTGCTTGTTTTGTCGAGCTGTGGTGAAACAATGTCCAGTAAAATGCTATTCAACCTCTGTAGCTATCATTGCTTGTTTTATTGGCATACGTCTGCTCAGTTATATAAGTCATTTACTCTATCATGCAATATTCTGGGATTTTGTTCAACCTCTGCCTGGAGCTTATAGCCATTCACCGGTAGATGGCATCTGCCTTTTCGACCTCTGAAAGCGTTGCCTAGCAACATATATCAAACTTTGTGTTGAGCCAGTTCGTGGCTAACATTACTATTGTTAGCATATTATATAAAAGCTTTTTTATTGGGATTTATATCTTCTCGTTTTGGTTTTGTAGCAGATTTTTGTCACCTTAAAACCGGGTATTAGCTACATTCATCTTGTGTTAACAGTTACGTACCGTTCGCGTCTATCGGCGTTCATTCGTAGCTTAGCCGCCTCTGCAAATTGACCGTTTGGCGGAAGCCAGCTGATTTGGTCTTCCTACACATCGCACAGGTACAGTTCTGCTGCTGGAATCGCAGAATGAGCGCTGGACGGACGTCTGAGGGTGCGGGGTGCATCGCTTGGTGGGGATTCAGTCCTGCACGCGACCTGCTCAGTATGGGTGAGAGCCATGGGATCGCATCACGCGCACGTGCATCCTCCAATTAATGATATCACGCAGAAGTTTATGCTTACTCGGCGTCTCTGCCACGTTAATTTGGTTTGGGGTATTTTAGCGCACTATTCGTAGCAATTCAAAGTTTTTACAAGTGTAAATACACATCTTCCTTAATTTTAAAGTTATACATTTGCAGTTTGTGTACTTTTCCAATTGTATTATAGAGATTCACAACGCTACTTTTGAAGATGTAAACTATTCATTCACACCCCTCTGGACAAAACATTTGAATCAATTCTTTGCAAATGAATGATGTAGTTAGAATTTACATACAGTAAGTAAAGGCTAAAAAGACACATTATATAAACAGTACTGCTATTGAGCTTTAATGTCTGGTCCAATCTCTGTCTGTATCAAGGCCCTGTGAAACAGGAAGGACACGTCAATGTTTTACTGATTGGCAGTGGAGATCCGAGACATATTTTGAAGACCATTGCTGGTTTGCAAGACAAACAAAGTCTTCATGTGAGCCACAGTCTCTAAAAACAGCCTTGTTGTTACTAACTAACTGTTTTGAGCTACGTAACTTTTTTCCCTGTGTGGTGATGCAGGTATGGGTGATAGAGAGCAGCATGGAGGTGGTGGCGAGGCAGCTCTTGATGGTTTACCTGGCTCTTATGCCACACGAAATAATTGGAATTAATGGTAAGTGTTATTCTGGTGAATTTTTCATTAAGCAAAAGCAATACGTGTCCAGATGTGTGGTATGTCTTGACATATCTGTATTCAGAGAAGACCGAGGTTTTTCTGGAGGTGTTCGGGAACAGTGAAATCCGCAGCCAGACAGAAGAGATGCTCCACCGGACCGCGACTCAGCTCGCTCTGTCTGTCACTGACACACTGGGTGCTGCCACTCACACCTGCCTGGACACAACGTCTCTCAAGGTAAAACACTATTTTAGACAAGCTCAGTTCGAGGTGGTGTACATCATAAAGAACATGCTTCTATGACAGTGTTTCAGTTTTGCCAGGTTTAATTTAGTTCATTGAGCTTTTCTCCAGTTCAAGGAGCGGGATCAGCTTGCTGAGATATTCAAGATGTGGATCCAGTCATCTTCACCTGAGCATCCTTTATTGATGTCCAAAGCTTGGGATTATCGAGTCAGGCAGCATCTTGGTACACGCTACGACGCCAAAAAGGGCTGCTTTGACTGGGACCTTACAATGAAGCTGCATGAGAAAGGAGTAATAATCAATTCTGAGTCTTTATGATATTAAAAAGCTTGTCTCAATTTAGCTGAACAGGGATAGGTGCTTACAGAAATAGTTATTGATGGTTATTTTTTAGGTTTACATATTGTACAGAACAATGCAAGGTCTTTGTGTGTCCGTTTTGCGTAGTGTGGTGTCATTAACAAACATCAATATGCGCGATGGAGAGAGCAAGGACTGGCATTTGAAATGAGGGAAGGCATCTATCAAAAGACAAATCCAACTTTACTCTCTTCCAGAGTGTTTAATCAGGTGAGCTCTCCTCTGTTTGGCTGCACAGCTTAGTAACCATATGATATGAAAGCACATAGTTTTCAATGTGTGTGTGTTTTAACAGAGAAGGGACAAAGTGGCCATCAGGGGCTACTGGGGAGACATCGTTTCAAGTCCTTATCTGTCCTTTGGCATTGAAAGTGATGACAAGGACCTGCTGAAAACAAAGAATGGGCAACACATCAAAGTAAAATATACCCTCAACAACAAAGATTGAGTCATTTATTTTCATTATACACTAGGAGTATGTTATAGTAGGAAAAAACAAAAAAAAAGTGCATCTACCTTTGTCTGCGTGTCTTCTCCTGCTGTTCAAAGACAGCACAGGATATTTCCATCGCAAACCTGCAGGGATTGTTCACATCGCTGTCCAGCAGACGGAGCTGTAACACAGCTTGTATGTCAGACACAAAGGCAGAAGAGGCATCCACAAGAGCTGACCAGAGCTCCATCTCCATCACTGGTAAAAGGCCTTTAAAACTAGTGTTGGATAAGTGCCAGCACAGAGCCATCAAAGTGGCAGCTCAGGAACCACATTCCTAGTTTAAATAAAAAAAGGTTTCATGAGCTAGTTGCTTTTTAGGAGTATTAAAAAAAATAATTTAAATAAATTTTATTTTAATTGACTATTTTTGATAAGCTCTTTTTTATGTTTTTACAATAGCAAATAATTCACTTTACACATACACTCCTCAGAGTTGATGCACCTGAATGAGGTTTCTATTACGTTTCTGCCAATGGACTCGCTTCAAAAACTGCCAGAGAAACAGAAATACTCCCACTTCTTCAACACAATATACATCTCTGCCAGGTGAGACATTTTACATCTCGCCAGCAAAAGGATTTACTTAAATGTAAATGCTTTGCCTGTATTGTGAATACATTAAGTGGACGGCAGACTGGGAGTGACTGAGTGGGCTTTCTTCGCTTGTGTTTCCCTCTCCATCTCTTCTGTGAAGCTGCGTGCACCAGTTGGGCCCCACGACGAGACAGATTGCAGCACCAGACGCTGTGCTTGTCCTGGAGTTGGCCAAGTGAGGGTTTTTATAGTATCATGCCTTGTTTCCATGGTGACTTGACAGTTACTCGGTGTATGGGTTTTGCTGTGGGATTGCGCACAATTTTCATTTGTGCATTAAATATTTGTGTGCCCCATATCCCAAATTTATCAGCCCATTCTTTAGTTAGAACTGAATGGTGATTGTGGTCTTTGTACTGAAGCTGCATTCGTGTGTTTCAGGTACATTTTGGATCTGAACAAAGAGCAAGAGGCAGGCTTTGTGGAGAAAGTGGAGAGCATGGCTCTGGAAGCTGGATTTGAACCATGCAACAAAGGAAGCAGTGACGACATCCATTCAGTTTTCATACATCCTAAGAAGTGAGAGGTGGTTTATTCCATCTCATGGTCTGTTCTGCTCCTGCTGTTAACACTAAGGCATGTGGCAGGATGCCTTTATACGTCTTTTTGGCTTGTTAAATTGGACCTTTTACCTTGTGCTTTGAAATCTCTCAAAAAAAGCTGGAAATGTTTTCACTAAGATGATATGATATCAAATTCTCCATCAAAATTAGATTAATCCCAAGGGAAATTAGTAGTTTTTCTGCCAATAAATAAAAATAGTTAAAATGGTCATTTCATAATTTGCCTTTATTTGTTGCAGCTATGATTTTGAAGCATCTTATTTTATGTTGAGTTTAAATAAAACTGGAGGCTGTTGGTGCATGCTTGCATCTCATCCAGTAAAGATCACACAGAAATCCATCACATCTCGCTCAGCTCAGGTGGTAAATGCTGCAACAGCGCTGCGGGCCCATCAGCTCACTTCCAGCGGCCTCCAACCTTCCCCTTACCGTGGACCTTTTTGCTGTGCAAAGACAAGAACAGATTTTCACCCAGACCGCAGGCAAAGTGCTGACCGGCATTTGCCACTTAACAAAACCCATTTTAGTTCCTCTCTAGTAGCATTTAACTATGTAAATCCTTAAATGTTTTGATCCGCTTCATAAAGAAGCTCTGACAGAGACATTGTGAGAGTTGGTCTGCCTGGCTCCAATGAAACAGATGAGTGGAACTGATGAGGTGATCACTGTGACAGGCAGAGGGACTCACAATTTCTGAGCATGCTGGATTCTGTTGAGGAGGACATTGATCTAAAAAAAAGAAAAAAAACAAATTTTTATTCTGTTATGAGAAGGTTCAAATGAGTTGACCAAAAATACTCTTCGCCCATGGGCTCACCTCATACTTCTGCCTCTTCATCCTCTCAGTTAGGTCAAACTTCTCTGACTCCAGCTGGTAGATCCATTCCCACATCTCCTCAGCTCTCTCTCTGTAAGGCAGACACCGTTTGGAATGACAGAAATATGCTCACACAAAATGCCCTAAGCCCTTCCAGTTAACGTTTGTAAAACACCAACCACAGTGACAGTATAATGAACTGTTGTCACAAATGAACTTAATCTTTTGTGAACACTCCACTGACCTCAGGCCATCTTCTCTCAGGTTGTCTATAGCCAGGGGTTTGCGTCTGTCTGCCAGAGTCTTCTTCTTGATTTCTCTCGCGGTTTGCCTTTTGCCTCGTTTTAGCTCTGCCTGCATGAAACACACTTGTTGAGCACCATAACCTTAGAAGCACTTTGAACCCACATCAGGAAGCCTCACACCTTATTTTGAAATTAAACAAACCTTGGCAAGGAACCCTCCGAAATGAGCCCCCATGTTGGAGAGCACCTTCTTCTTCTTGGCCTCATCCTCGGCCCTCTTTTTCGCCTCCTCATCCTCCTTTCTTTGCCTCTCCTCCTGAAAGAGTCACCTTCCGTGGGTTGTAGCATTTTCCACTGTCTTAACGTGCTCCCATAATGTGCGTTTGGTCCAAATAATGTGATCGAGGCAGATTATTGGATGGAATTGACATAGTGAAAATAATTACTTACAGCGATCCGTGTTTGTCTGTCCCGCTCTTTCTCAGCCCTCACGCGCTGCTGCTCGGCTCTCTCCGCACGCCGGTTCTCCTAAACCAGGAAGCAGACATCTGCCCAATAATCCCCTTCCATGGCTGCAGGCTTAAAAACCAAGACATCGCCTCATTAGTGGGAACAAACAAGAACTCCTTACAATTCTTTCTTTCAGTGCTATCAGCTCCTCTTCCTCTTTCTTCCTCTGCTCAAAGTGGACATCAATCAGAGTCTGCAGCTCCAGGAGGTCTTTCTCCATCCTTTTGCGGTGAATGTCCTAACAGGAGAGATCAGTGGTCGCACAAATTCAGGATATTCAGACTTTTCTATTCAGGCTCAGAAGCAGTCGTTCCTGAACCGATACTTAAAAGTCTCGAGGGAACATACATCAAAGTCAACTCGTTCCCCCTCTGGGATTTTTGGTGCAGCAAGCTGTGTGACCACGGGCCTGTCAAATAAAGAATTCATGTTAATGCGTACACTCAGATCAAATAGGCCCTGTGTTTTCATTGATAGCAGAACAGGTTTTCTATTTGTGGAGTCTCACAGTGTTTGTCAGTCCCACACAGACGTACTCACTTGTATTTGGGTCGTTCTTCTTCACCATGACGCCCGGGGGAGCAGGGAAAATCTGAATTAGTGGATTTGAGGTTCCCTTTCACAAGTTACACCACACCCAAGTTAAAGTACAAAACAATAGAGTTTGTGACCATGTTGCAACTTTTCTTTTTTAAATCTCTGTGGCTGCAGTTTAACGTTTAAAATCCAGTAACACAGAGTTACTGTGACTGAGGTCACACATAACCAGAAGCAACAACTAAACACTGGACCTAACGACAAGCATGCAAATGCATGTGAATCAACAGCTAGGGTTCCTTTTATTTAAAATCTATAAAAGCTATAAATAGTTCGGCTTCTAAGGTATTGCTGATATAATGAATACACAACCTCAAAGTCTCACCTTCCTCTCCCTGATCTTCATCTTCCTCTGAACAAAGACAAAGTGATAGTGGGATAGAGTTGAGAAGAAAAAGATGTAGTTTACGCTTGCATCGGAAAATGACCATTCTTACCTTCGTAATGTCCTCTAGATAAAAATAAGTGAAATCACAAATTAGCCATGCCAAGATATAAAGATTCACGGGTTACAGATGTGCATGGCTGGACCGGACTGACTCACCCGTGCTCTTCTGAACAGGACATTGTAGCACTGGAGAGAAGACAAATGCAACTATCAGCACGTTCACATAAAATCATGTTTACTGTTAGAGCAATCTCAGGCAAATCCGACAAGAAAGAAATGTACGTCTACTTCTACGCATACTTCTATTGGTACATAATAAAATTGGATATAATATTTGCATATCGTCAAACAAAATGAGCCCAAAAGGAAAGAGTAGGAATAGGAGAGGTCAGTGGCCACAGTGGGCAGTGAGGGAGCAGCTGTTCACTGTAGTTTAATTTGATTAACAGAGAATGTGGGACAGAGAAATTAACCGGCCGGCTGGCTGCTATCAACACTTGCCAAAACCTTTATTATCTATTTATTATAAGGTAACAGATGTGCAATGAACTCTTTAAATAGTTAAACTCATCTTATCAATACTTTACAAGTTTAAGTTTACATTTCCGAGACGACAGTTGTTGTCTTTCTGCAATGTCAAAACCATCCAATAAGGTGAGATTAAGCATAGCTCTGCGTCATCAGCCAGTTTTCCAAACTTACCTCACTGAGAGAAACTGAGAGCCCGATCAGACTGCCTGTCTGTGAACGCATTAACACAACAGATGAAGCCATGAGACCCCTCCATTCTCTCTGATCTCTTTATAGTTCGGTTTCAGCCAAGATCTCAGAGAATGAGAATGTGGATCTGAACAAACAGAACCTCGGACAAAAGGCTGATGAAGGATTGGGAGAGGAATTCATCACGTTGCTTGACTGTTGGCTAAACAGGCTTGAAGAGTCAGACTCAGCAGGACAGATGGACCGAGAGTCCAAGAGCACCGAAAATAAACTGGTAATAACAATGAAATAAGATTCACGTGTTGATGGAGTTCTGCTATTCTGATGTCAGAAACCCCCCCCCCTATATCTCTCCCCATTGGAAAGGTTGTAAATCATAGTGAACATTTTTGTATAATCACAGGATCTTGGTATGTCGCTTTGACCTCCGTGCTGAGATACAAAGTGAGAACATCTGACCTCAGATGTACCATCAGCAGAGCAGAATCTCCCAGGTTTCTGTCACTACCAGGATAAGACGTCCCTACAGTCACAGTTAAGATACTCCAAGATACAATGACCTCAGAGCTTGGTCTGGCTATTCCAGTTAGAGTTAGGCTACTGTCTTCCCTAAACTAGCATCCCAATAAGCAAAAAGCACATTAAGAGTACATGTGTGACGTGAATCCTATTTCTGCAAATGTAATAAATTTTTTCTTCTGTAAAAGCATTATGTGAGATATTAGGTACGTATACTAAATATCATATAATGACATTATACAGTGTTTTCAGGCTTCAGCCTCTCTGTTTGTTCTTTCTTACTTGAAACTCAAAATGATCAAATGTCCAGAGTCAATAACCTTCATCAAATTCTAAGCAAATACATTCATTTATTTTTAGCACCGACACATTTGCCAGGCTAATAAAAAAAAACAGATGAATAAGATGAATGATGCAAAAAAGGTATGAAAATATCACAGATTATAATCTCTCTTCACATAAAACATTGGATACAAAAATGGCAGATAAAAGCTTTTTGTTGTCCTAAATTAGTCTCCAAGGTCTGATTGACAGTGCATCTTTAAGTTATTGCAGTCCAAAAACAATGATGTCAGATCATTTACAGCAAAACTGTAGAGCGACATCATTTTTGAGGCAGTAGATGCTGATTGTGTTTTCACTTTTAGACCAAAGCACATACAGAGAGAAAAAAATAACAAGCTATGCACAAACACCTTGGCGTAGAAAAGAGGAAAATAAATACACATACCTGGACAGCAAAAGGGCCATGCGACGATAAGAAGAGGACGGACAGAGCTTTATATATGGGGGCCCCTGTGGTGACACAGCTGTGTGTATGTGTGTCTTCCTCCTGGTGCTAGGTGGACAAAGCTTTGGTTACACAAGTGTGAGTCCCCCACCCACCTCTCTTTTTAAGGCAAAACACAAATCCCCATAAAGTCAATACCTTTAATAAGACACTGCTTTAAGGCTGACACATGCCCTCACAAATATAGAAAAACAACACGCGTGTTAGGGGAGAGCATGATTTTTCTTTTTTTTAATAAAAGACGCGGACTACATGCGCATTATCGGTCGGCTCTTTTGGGACATAAGATGAACTCTGGCAGGCATGATAATGAGGGAGGGAGGGTTTGCCGCTAACCTCCCTGCTGAAATCAGAGACAAAGACAGCCGTTAGGAGTCCAGAGAGAGAATAACCGGTCACACAAAGGCCTTAAAATGGAGAGGGCCCCACAAGAACCCAGCGTCTGACAGCGACTGCTGACCTTTTTCTTTGAAGCATTAATAACTGAACAGCAACTTAACACTTGTCTTTGAACAGAAAAAAGCATTTCAACTTGAAGAAAAGTGTTAAGACTCAATTGTTCATCTATTTCTTATAGAGATTCTTTAGTAAAGTTTCCTCATGAAATAATCTACCAATCTATTTGTAGATGTTGATTGACTGTAGAAACAAGTTTTATCCATGAGACAACATTGCTGGACTTCCAGCATTGGAAAAACAAACAACGTATTTTCTATGCAAACTGTAGTACAACCCAAATCAGATTTCCATAAGGACTGGTATATAGGCCGTAATTGACCACTCCAGGAGAGAAATAGAGAGGAGCTAATCCATGCAGCCGTTTGCTTCACACCAGGTGAGACATAAATATTCCAACTACTCACAAAAATAACTGAGACAAGAATTTGGGGGGAGACAATATAGCTGGGAAAATTTAAAATGTGGACTTTAGATTGTGTGATTCTGCTTTGCACATGGCAGGATTCAGATGTAGCTGCTGAATGAAAAATTTAAAAATGTTATTGAGGAACATGCAGTTTAACAAACTCTTGCCAACATCCTTCCCTAAAATAACTTAAATAGCATATTTCACTATAATCTACATTTAGTAACCCCTTACAGACCAGACTGTAATAATTGTATTATATATATGATAACATGTTTATATATTGTGCTATATTTTCTGACAAAAATTAAAGATTTGTTCTCGTCTATTGGTATTACAGCTTGAATAATATTTGCAAACTTAAATTTCAGGGGGAAATATGTCTCACCTGATCATTTGGCTGACAGTGTCAGGTACCTGTCATTTAAAAAACAATCAAAATCATAATAATGACTTCTTTGTATAATGTTTTGTGTGGTCTTTCTCTCCATAGGTTGCATTACTTTGTGTTTATCTAGTTATACTTCCCGTAAGTATTACCTGATAGATGATAGAAAGAACTGGACAGATGCTCAAAGGTACTGCAGGGAAAAGTTTGATGATCTTGCTGTGATTGCAAGTCAAGACGACCTCGATGTAATGGTAAATCTGACAAATGCGAGGGGTGTGACAGCAGAGATTTGGGTCGGTTTGAGAAAAACTGGGCCTCCATCTTGGCTGTGGTCTGCTGGAGAGACTCAGAGCGGCCCTGGATCAGTCGACTGGACAAACTGGGCTACAATACCCCTTTCCACTGAAAACTGTGGAGGAATGCTGGCTGATGGGAAATGGTTCGGTACATCCTGTGAAACAACACACCCTTTCGTATGTGAGGAAGGTTAGTTCTCTCTCAAAGCCAAGTCAAATGTTTTTGTTTTTTATTTGCATAATTCAAATCCCCTGAAAAAGATATTTGTTAAGTTAGAATGCCTTTCTGGGCGGGGGGGGGGGGGGGTCACATTTTGGTATTGTAGGACATCACTTCTCATTCTCTAGCAGCTGTTTAACACCTGCACAAACAGATGTTTTCCATTTGAACATTCCCTCAGACAGTGGGTCCATGGAGGTGTACATTGAAGGGAAAACTTGGAAAAATGCCCAAGATCACTGTCGACAGCTAAAAAAAGACTTGGCTGAAGCAAGGAATGCCGAGCAGAACCTGGCCCTACAGCAAAAACTTAGCAGCTCATCAGCGGCCTCTGTCTGGATCGGTTTGTTCAGAGATGAGTGGAAATGGTCAGACCAGAGTCCAAGTTCTTTCAGACACTGGGAAAGTTCTCAGCCAAACAATGATGGCAACTGCACGCTGTACTACCCTTCTGGAAAGAGCTTCTACGACAGAGGTTGTGCTCAAAACTCTATCTTTTACTGTTACAGAAGTAAGTTTTCAACATCCAATACACTCTACCATGTACTGTATTCATTTATTTAGTTGGTAATGAGGGATAAAGCAAACTGTGAATCTGTATTTTCCTATTTTTCTAAGTTGATCGCATAAATGTACTTACAGTGATGTCATTTTTGTTACAGAGGAGAAAACAGCAGAGCAGTTCTTTAAAGTGGAAATCATGTCATCTGGAAATTTGAATGATAGTACTGTATGGAATGCCATTTTGAATGAAGTAAGTCCCTTAACTTGAAAACATAAATTTTTTAGCAAAATATTACGTTTGAACACTCTCCCCCTTTTGTTTGCCTTGACAGCTCAATGCAAAATATGAGGGTGTCAAATTTCAGTGGAAACTCCAGCCAGATGGAAAGATTTTCCACAAAAAGAAGAAGAAAGCCGATGACGCCCGATGAAAAAAAAAAAAGTTTGGTCATCCACCGCCTGATGGAAAACATGGTGCCAGTGGATAAAGGGACCTCCTGGCTGTGAGGCACAACTGTCACTGCAAAGTCCATTTAACATCACTCCCTTTTTTCACAGCCAATATTTACATACTAACTGTTAATTTAGTAGCAAAAAGTTGATTAAGGGTTTATGTTGCATTTTCATTAATGTAGTTGTGGACCTTTTCTTTTTCCCTCTTTCTTAAAATGTGGATCTTGTTGATCCTAAAGTGTTGATCTTTTTGTTTAACTTGAGCATAACATTAAATGTGGCATCTTTCCAGGCATTGGAATAAAAAGCTTAAGAAATGGAAGCTTTCAGTTCTTTCCTTTTATTAAGAATGCCCCCCCTAACATTGCATTAAAAAGCCTCACAACAGCAGTAACATAATGAAACCAGCTAATCTGACGCAGAGTGAAGACAAAACAGAGGCAGTGGTTGGTGCAGAGTATCACAAATCTGTGTCACTGGTAGCAAACCTCACATTTTAACCACATCTGACCTGCAGCACTGCTTACTGAAGAAATTGCACATCACGTTCATAAATATGTAGCTTGCATTGTTATGGCACTTATATAGTTAAATGTACGTATAAGGAAAAAACTAACAGAAACAACGGTGGCAGTGAAAAGTGGTGCTTACGACAGTGGCGCTTTTAAACTAGTGAGCTTTTACAGCCAGGTTGAATGCATTAGATTAATTTTACAGCCATTGGCATTCAAATGGCAGAAAATGAGCACCCACCCCCAAAAAAACTACAAAACAAAGCAAAAAACAAACTGATGTACTGCTCACTTCTAGCGGCATAGCCAAAATGAAGAAAATTCACTGGCACCTAACCAGCTGCACTGGAGTGTGTACTTAAATAGTCCCTGAAGCAGAGTGACTTAGGATATTTCTTAACCCTGACACGAGTGGTGCAACGCATACTGGCCCCCTTTATTCACAAACATAATCACAGTCGTGACTGCTTTCAGTACAGTTCTGGGTTTGATGTGCTCTGTGGGGCTGACAGTTAAAACTAAACCAGTTCATGACTTGCTCTTCTGTGGTCTTTTCCTCTCTCTCAACATACACACACACACACACACACACCTGTCACACACCTAATAAAACACATGCGCACACAAACCAATACAGATGCGCTGATAAAACACTGGCGTCGCCATCAGTCCCGAGGAGTTGTATGTTGAATACCATTTATCTGACAGTATAGTTCTCTAAGTGCATGATGAGTGAAAACCTGCCTTTCCTCACTTCATGATGTAAGCCTGCACCTTCTCTTCAGCACCCTTTCCTTTGATGAAGTTATCTATTGCTGTTTCTTGAGCTCAGGTCGACTCTCCTCCGTTTTGTTGGGCTCCTTCTGGTTGGGGCTCAGCAGCTGAAGCATATCATGCAGAGCCTTTCTGAGCTGATCACCAAACTTATGGGGATCCTATAAGGCGGAGGGGGGGGGGGGGTGTCAAAGAGGAAACAAACTGTGTTTGATCAGAGTGCAAAGAAAAAACGGTGCACATGACTCAAAACCCTAAATGTTATAACGCTGCTTACTAACTATGTAAAGTCTGTTCTGTAGTTCCACTTTTCAGTCACATTATTTTCCTTAAACAAATAAGAAAAAAGTTTCCATCCTACTCACAGTGTAAGTACATGAGCGTTTACAAGAGATGTGGAAATTCATGATGTTCTCTCCTATGAAGTTGTAAGAGACCCCATAACCATCATCAGCCACCTGAAAAAGAGCAACAGACAATATTTTCCCTCTTAGCTTCCTTATGAGGTTAAGAAGCCATTTTGTTCTGTACAAACGTGCCACAGCGTCAGAGACGTGATTGACTTTACAGCGGTAAAGATGAGAAGAGAGTCCACTGATGCGTTAAAAAACACCCACCATGAAAAAGAATAGGGTGCCGTGTCAAACATAATTATGCATGTTGTTCTGCTTTAACTTAGATGCTTTGAGATCATTTGAATAGTACTAACTGGTCCAAAGCCCCCTCCACAGGAGATAAATTCTGGATGGTTGACCAAGTCAAACAGCTCCACCTGCTGGACCGAAGTCTGACTTGTGGACAGCCTCCACGGCTCAGACAGCACCTGAAACGAACAGCGGCCGTTAGTAGGTTTGGTGAGCTGCCTCTGAAAAAAAACATTTCACCAGCAAGGAGACAAAAGAATGAAACTAACCTCTTTCAGGAAAGGTGACTCCACCCCCAGGTATTTGGACACCACGTAGAGGCAGAAGAGGTGCCTGTCGATACCGGCTCCAGTCATGGCCATGCGGTACAACTGCTGGTGCTTCTCAGACGCCGCACGGAACAAACGCCTGCACACATCTGCTGTCTGGAGGAGAACATCAGCAGATGTAACACCTTGTGCAAATCTCACACTGAATCGTGTGGCCTGTTCCGGCTCCCTGTTTAAGAAAAAAAAGAAGATGCTGTGGGTTCTCACCTCTCCCCCTTCCAGCGCTCGAACAAAGGCACTGCTCTCGTTGGTGCAGGAGCGGACGGTTTCGGTCCTGCCCTCCCTGAACAAACGGGTCATGGAGGCTTCGTATGTCAAGCAGAATGTCCCCCGGTCCTGGAACACAGACAACTACACTTGTATGCTCCAGTTTATGTTGAACAACCTTCAGGGTCATGCAGCACTGTTCCTTTGTTTATTTATGGTCTTCCCTCATTTTTCATGTCTGTTAATATAATCTGAATTTATCTTTAATTCTATTAAAACTGTCATTTTTTTGTGCCAACTAATCCAGAAATGTGAGCGTGTCCGTAGAACATCAGCGAGGCTCACCCTGTAGTATGCCAGCTGAAGAGCCATCTGAATGAAGGCATCGGGACTGACACGGCACTTCTTGATTTTTCCTTTCCCGAAGGTCCGGAAGGAGAAAACGTGGAACTGCACGTCATCGGCCAGGGCTTGTGCCACCACCAGGGATTGGGAGATCTGCTCCTCACACTAAAAGAAACATCCAAACAGTCATGACACTGGACTATTAGCCTTTCAACTACTACTCAAATTTTCTCCCTTAAAAAAAAAAAACTTTGATTAAGAATTTTTACTAAGAATACAATTCATATTCGTAAAGACATAGTATCAAATATGTCATATGCCTTTGCAACTACTTCTCTTAATAAATAAATAAATGTTAAGCCTAAAAAAAAAAAATCGTATTCATGTACATACATTAAAGTTGTAAAGAATGACTCACTTCTGGGGGGATTTCCCAGTTCAGCTTCTGTGGTACAGGAAGCGACGAATCCACTTCTCCTTTGCAGTGTCCCTCTTCATTGTAACCAAGCTGGAAACTGTCGGTGGCCAGGGTGTACTGCAAAGGCACAAATATCACAGGGGAAGAATATGCCTTTTCCAAATGCACACGCTGTGCTGCCTTTCTTTCTTTTTCTTACCTCCCATACATGTGCCACCACTGGTGCATCGGCCCACGAGTGCTCAGCGTTAATGCCACTCTTCCCATTCTTGTAGAAAACCACTGAGAAGGACTTGTCAAACCACCTGGGAGAGAACAAATAATGACTGTGTGACTTTTCCAGTTTAAATACTCAACAATGACACGTTTCCCATGTAAATCCATTGTTTACAATACAGTGATGAGTTTATAGTGAAAGCACCTGTCATAACATTTCCCGTGCAGCAATGATTTAGCGTAGCGGTCCAAACTAGCTTCTGGGTCGTCTTCCATTATGCACTGTTCCTCATCGTCCAGGGTCACAAAGAAGGCCGCTCTTTCAATGCAGTCCAAGGAGCGTTTATTAATACCCGTGCTGAAATACTTTGCCCTGGCCTTGGCCCATGGAATTCTGGTTGATTTTTGAGAGGAAAACAACAATATTATTATTATTATTTATTTTTTTATGCAACATAATTTAGACTGCGGTGGCTTATCAAACGCACCTGTCTCCAGCAGTCAGGGCTCCGAGTTTGGCCTCGCCTTTGGAGGGAGCTGAAGGGTCGTCGAGGATCCTCTGGATCTGAAACTCGATCTCCCTAGGCGACAGCAGTCTGCCTGCCTGGTACACCCTGAGACGAAAGTATCGACCCTTGTGGTACACCGCTACGTAGTCGCTGTCCTGCCAATGTTGCACAGAATCTGTTGGAGGGAGGAGCAATGGTGGCAGGCTAAGAGGAAGCACTTGACAATTGTTTTTATTTCAAATGTGAAACAAGGAGCAGCTCATTCTGTGCAATGTGGGAAAGCAGTTGCTGACAGGTCGTGAATTCACATAAATCAGACAGAACACATTAGGTGACAAGATTCTCTCACTTTTTAGGGTTTCTGAGCTACCGTGTGTTTGCTCTAAATGACGGCCTTAAGGGTTTAACACACTATGGAATGTTTCACATCAGTCACTAGATGCATGGTCGTTATTCACCACAGCTTCTCCCTTGAGCGCATCATGATATCACACCAAAGAAGGGTTAAAGAGGCAGGGGGAGCCCTGGGCTCTCTGTCATGTTTCTTGCTGGTTTAAGTATTATTCTATGCCTCTGTTCTATTGCATCACCTAAGCCTAAACTGCATTCTGATTCCAGATGGCTCATTCAGAACTGTGAGATGTCTCACCAAGCCCTTTAAATCATGCCCGTGTTTACACGTTACAACTAATGAGTGCCAGTTCACAGCCACAGACCTGATCCATCTCCAGCATTTGTCCGTCATGTCAAATCATCCTTAGAATCTTGTCATAAAAGGAAAACCAGCTCGTCTTTTCTAAAAGTTAAAGCGTTTTAGAGATTTACTTGAGTAAAGGCGGGCAAAATTAAGAGTTTAGCTCACTAAGATGAGGAAGACGAGGAAGACTCACTGTACTGGAAATGATGTCAGGAACATTTTGTAACTTACTGGTTTGGCATTTAAAATGGTCCACTTTTATAATAACAGAAAACTACCTGTTAGTCTTCCAGGGATTCGACAAGTGTCGAACATCCGCTCAAACTGATAGGAACAGCAAGGAACAGCAGACCTTAGCAACCACTAGTAAGACAGGAAAGGAAGGGCCGGAAGAAAAGTCAGGGTAGGAGAGGATGGGAGGTAAAAATAGGATGATAGAGTATGAATCAAGAGTTTTGGGATGAATAGAAAAGGGAATAGGGAAGGAAGAGAGACACATGAGGCGAGAAAATGCATGAGCAGAAGAAAATAGCGATTAGTCAAAGTCAGACTTTTCCAGAAACTTAGACCCGAGATTAAACTTGCAGGGAAGAGGAGACAGATGATAGATGACAGCAGACACACTGTGACTCACACACAAGCACACACTGTCCACAGGACCATTTTTAGTCCACACTACACCTTTAGTATATCCACTCTAAAGGAATCTGCAGCTCGCTTTGTTGTTAAAAGTCTGCCACTCATGTTCAGTTGTTGCGCTACTTTTTATGTGTGTGCACGGCCAGTCTCTTTACCGGTCTCCTCTCCAGGAGTGCGTGTGGTGTTGAATATCCTCTCACACTGAGCCGCACACAGAGGAATGACAGTGCCTGGGATACGACTCTGGGAAATGGAGAGGAAAAAATGAAGGCAAGGGTGCAGAGAGGTGCAAAGGAGCACGGTGGAGGAGAGAAGAAGAGCAGGGATTTTTTTTTGTTTCCGTAGTGAAAAGAAAAGAAGGAAAGGGAATAAAGCAAATGCAGAGAGAGTTCAAAAGGAGAGATGAGCATGGTATGAGACTGAGGGAACTTTTCAAATGCGAGACATAAATTAATGGGTATCCACAGCCATCTGCCACTCCATCACATTGATCACAACTGATGGAATTTACACACAATACAACCAAGAAACGCAATCATGACACACACTGACAGCCTCCTACATCAAATATAAATACCTTTTACATAAAGAAATAGACAGATGTCTCAGAATTTACAACTAATGACACATAAATAATGAATGTTTGTAAGTAAATGGAGCACAAGAGTTGCGAGTGTGCCTGAACTCACAGGTTTGATCTCCTCTTTGTTGAGTTTGCGCCGATAAAGAAAGAAGGCGTGGATGAAGTTACCGGCCCTGGCCGCCTGGATAGGAGTAGGAGTCACATACAAAAAGTCCTGGGTAGAGCACAGAAAATATACATCAAGTCAGGAGTAGTCACATTGGTGTCATCTTCATCTAAGAAAATAATGCAAACAAGACTAAAAGGCTGGTGCTTGGGTCTTTGGAGAGGGTTATTCCACTGCTTTCTGAATGACACAGAACTGAACAGTAGGAGATAAAAAATAAATAAATAGAGATTTTCACACCATGCCGTAGTAGTTACTGTTGACCATGATGGGGTTTCGCCCGCGCAGGTAGACGTATTCCTCCCACCAGTCGCTGACCTAAACACAAAACTAACACGGTGAGAAAGCACGCTGTGGCACTGACATCAAACTCAGACCGGATGAATTATTCAAACCACACAACCATGTGCAGCCATCCGGTCTTGATGGATTTTTTTATTTTATTTCCGTTGCTACATTTAAGTGGCCACACTTCACCAGAGCACAGTAGACAGCCACTCACATAGTTTGAGGCCCAGAGAGATTTGAGCTTGAGGTACCACTGCAGGCGGTTTCCGAGGCTGCTTTCGAACTCTGTAGCCAGGTTGGTCATCCGCTCGTACTCGGCATCGTTCATCAACGGCCGAACTGACTCCAAGTACTACACGTGAGAGGTAATGCAACAAATCCAAACCAATTAATGGAATCAGTCCAAAATTAATATTCACAACTGCATCATATACCAAATGCTTCAAAATGATACACATCAATTTTCTCTAACCTCTCTACCGGCCTAAAATAAATAGATAGGTGCATAAATACATATAGAAAAGGCTGAAAATGAATGATACATGGCAAAAGAGGTGTGTGCTTTATGGTGAGCCATCAGTATTTCCTCTGCATCCTGTTACATCTCACCTTCTTGACTGTGTCCTTGACGGCCGGGACCGGGAGGTTTGGCAGAGAACCCTGGTAGCTGTAGAGCAGAGGCTTCCTGCCAGAAAAAATACGCACCAGTGCCTGAAACACACACACGTACACGCAAACATTCACAACAGGAACATCTTTGGACTATTTTTCTTTTTAAATATCACAAATATTAAATATGAATAAAAATATCAAATTCTTACCATTTTGACCTGGTAGCTCAGAAACATCTAACATGTACAAAAGAGTGTTTTCTTGATACTATGACACCTTAATAAATAAATAACTTTTATATAATTTGGTTGGAGAAAAAAAACTAAAAACTAGCCTAACCCTATCAGAGAGAACACTTGAAACTAGAAAAGCACTGACCACCCAGACTTTGGTGGTGGTGGACATCTTGCCGTGCTGCTCGAACATCCAGCGGTGGTAGGAGAGGAGCTGTTTAAGGCACAGGCGCATGGTGAAGATGAGCATCAGCCACAGCATGGTGCTGAAGAGCACCGCCGACACCACGGCTTGGCACTGCGTGCTCATAGACTGGCTGGAAAAGAGTGACAATCTTTTTTTTAAATAAAAAAAGGGATGATAGAATGAAGGGAAAAGAGAAGACCATGATGCAGACCACAGCAAGACAACAAAATTAATCTAATCAAGTTTTGTTTAACATCACATGATATCACAGTGAAACAAACTGACGCAAGTTCATTTGTCACGCAAAAAAACAGTTGACTATATTGACTAGTGAGTCAAATAGTTTATCTCAGATAGTGTTTCGGTCCTTAAACTCTCCATGAACTCCTTGTATGACATGCAGAGGGAGAGCAGTGTGTTCACATGGATGTTGGATAATTAAAAGGTTTTGTTTGGTTGTGTTTTCGTGCTGTTGTGTTACCTTACTGGCAGGTGCTCCTGTATCTTTGCTATGAGCCCCATGGAGGGATCAGAGCGAGTGTACATGGTAGCCAGGATTGCTATGACCACAAAAAGCCAGGAGGACGGACTGGCAGGATACACGCCTGTTATCACACTGTTCTGTTAATGTGAGAGAAGAGATCCTTTAAACGAGTGCATTCACCTGCTCACAGACTAATAAAAGCTAGTAAGTGTCACCGGTCTTAAATCCTTTCACTTAATACTGAACGTCTGTAAAAACAAATGTCTGTCAAAAATGTTTATATTTGAGGAATAGATAATTTAAAAAAAACGCAGATACCTTGACTCTGATGATACGTTTCTTCCAGGAGCGAACGCCTGAGAGGTAGATCTCAGAGAGGGCCTGGTGGGACAGCTGCAGGTCAATGCCCTCTGGAGTAACGGTGAACTGGAAGGCCACCGCCTGGTGGGCTTCTGCCATGATTACTGTGTAAGAAAAGACGACCCGATGACCTGATGAGATGGGGCAAAAGAGAAGAAGGGGGCCCTGTCACTGCCAAAACAAGCTCGCAAAAGTCCTTGTGTCATGTATTAAAGTCACACCTTAGACACAAAGGTAGGCATTTTGCAACAAGTCCCCACAGCCTCCAGCTAAAAGTACGCACAAAGTGGTTGTTAACATTTGAAAGCAGCCGTTTTATATGCCCATAGTGGATTTTTGGACCCTACTGAGGCTTGAATGAAAAAGAAGGATTTATACTGTCATTCATTCCTTCAGGTTTGTTATAGGCCAGATTAAAAGTGAGCTTTTGACCTCTGGTAACACGATCAAAGTAAGTTGGTGAACAGCTTTACTGCTGAAAGCATTACTTTTTCATTTGGGGCAAACTTTCAATATTGCTCTCCGGAGATGGTCCAGTCCTGATTTGTACTCAGAAACAACAATTGGGACTCCTTATCTTGGCTGTGTTTTTACACCCGTAGGTAAATTACTACAAAAGAATAAAAAATAACACGGGTAAAAAATAACGAGACACAGGTGCCTCACTCTCTTTAGAGCTGACTCTGACATATAAAAACTGTACAGACATGGAAACAGCTTGAAGGAATAGATCCTTTATGGTTTGTCAATTTCTTCTGTACAACTTCACAGGGATGGATGACTCATCAAACCCATAAATGAGTGTCAGGCAAAACATATCCATCCTTTACATGTGCATTTTAAAAGAGAAGCTCAAAGGAGAAACTTTAACAATGACTCAAACTGATAAAGGTTTGATAGGAAAATGCTGACTGGCTGCTGATGTGATTGGGTATTTTTGCATGAGGCAACCCCTGCTTCTCTTCACAAAGGGAATTGATTTTTCTGCTATTCACAAATAGACTATGGATAAAGCCCCGAGGTTAAGTCACTCTGACATGGGGCAGCACTCGTTGAAGGCCGTTTCTGCTCTTATCCTGTGAAAATATGTCAAACTCACTCACCCACATCATTTCATCGCTGTCCAACATGCACTACTTGTGTCAAGGATTTTAAACCCTCACTACTTTCCAAGGTACTCCAGCATTAAAACGACATATAGACTGACATACACACTATTACATTTCTGAACACGAGTAGAAAACCCCAGAGTGTGCACATAATCACCGCTTGTGTTATCTGTGCAATGTGAGCAGATGTTTGAGCAGAAAGAATAAGTGTGAAAACATCCTCTGTTTGCATGAAGACTTCTGAAGAACTCGTTTATTGTATACACTTTAACTGACTGCTGTTTTTTTACTTTGATACTTACTTGAAAATGAATAAAGCAGCAACAGGAAAAAATAAAAGGAGGATTAGAGCTGCTGAACCAAACAAACATTTTAATAGTCTGTTTTCCTTGTACGAAGTGGAGCTATGTCAGTTCATTCCAACAGACCACTAACAGCTGCACCACTGTAAATGGTAGGTGATCCAGCAGGGTTTTAAAACTACTGGAGAGAAATGTATTGATTAAACTTTCATCTGTATGAGGCTCTGGAGAGCCCTGCTTTTACGACAACTTGGTAGAAATTTGGAATGCACTCAACAGTAGAAAGAGGGTTCACAGCAGGAGAGGAGGGTTGGGCTCGTGTAAACTATGTCAAAGGTAAACACCTGAGGCATTTTGTTTTATACGGCCTTTAAATATATGTTGTAAACCGCTCCATGCGTCCTTTCTGACACAAACAAGAAAAAAAAAACATTTCTCCAATCTCAATGGAAGGAAGATGTTCATTTTCCTCAAATCTTGGACTTGTACACTGAAACTAATAGACTGAATGTTAAGTTTCTTTCTTAGTTTAGCCTTCCTGGTTTAACCTTTCCTGTCCGTCTGCATGGCAGGGATGAAGGAAGGATGGAAAAATACAGCAACATGTGCTGCCAATACCTCAAATCTTGGTTTCAACACTACAGTCAAGCAAGTATGTATGTAATTAAAGGCTATTCTACATCCATTACTAATGTTACTGATTGAACTGATTGAGTACAATGATATCAGGTTTAATTATGATGCCTTACCCTTTGTTAGAGATGAACAAGTCTTTTGGAATCATCAAATCTTCAAGACATTCATACAATATGAAGGATTAATCTTTACTGTGGCATGCTTAAGATAAATGCATAGACAAAAACAAAGATCATCATGGATTCTAGGAGCATCAATAAGAGTTATGCATGTCTAAATCAAAGGAGGAATCCAAAGTGGCATTCACAATTTACTATTTAAAAATATTCTTAAAGGTTATCATTTTCAGGGTGCATTGTTCAACACACTAGTGAAACCTTTTATACACCGTAAAAGTGCTTAATGTGTACATTTATTATCATGTAATGCCCGGTTGGCTCTACTGTTCGTGCTGTGGGACAGCTCCAGAAACAAAACAAGTTACCTGCCGGTAAGACACCTACATTCTTTCAGTCAAACAAACTCAGAAGTAGACAGCACTTGGAAAAAGGGCATTATCAACACGAAGCCATACTCCCAATACACCTATTTAGACACTAAACTCTCCTGATACTAATGTGTGAATAATAATTTTGGCCAACGTCATAAAAAGGTTATATCAACGCTGAGGGACGTCAAATTTTGTTTGTGTTTAAAGTAACTACGGGGGGCTTGAAAATGTCTGTTAGCCGATGCTAGTGTGAACTAGCCGAGAGCCCAGCCCTTTATGTAAACGCCTGCTGCTCAGGCTCGCCAAGGCATAAGCAAAGATGCAAGTATTTGCGTCTGGAGCGGAATAAGACTTACCTGCTGTTGTTCAAAGAGGCGAAATATCCGGAATTTGGCGAAGCAGGGACAGACTATTAACTTGTGACGTCGCCAGGGCGCCAAGTGCTACTGAAACGTTGATGAGCCTGCCTCTTGCCGTCTTCACGGCAGATGCTCGGGGGAGGATGAGCCCATGCTGCTTTCAAAAGCATCGGAAAATTCACAACCGTAAAATGTATGCGGCGATGCATTCAATGGACCATGATTATGACACGATGGACACGTCTATCTTTCTATATATAATATTTTTCAGCATTTGTGGAAGTGTGTCGCCCATTTGCATTTACTTATTCTAATTTACAAGCGGAGAGCCTGGACAACAAAGAGTCTAGGGCCTGCTGCCCATTTGACTGAAATGTGATGTATCACAGGAGTCACGATCACATTTTCATGGTTGGTGTTATGATATCCATATCCGTTCGGGAGTCTTAGCCCTCATTATATCTGGTGGGGGCAGCCAAATTTTAACTTTGGTCATACCAGCAACTGTTATGAGCTTTCTGGAAAAAAAATATTCAATGTAATAGATTTTTCTGGAAACACATTTCACCATTTTACGTGTGCAGCAGCTCCATCTTCAGGAGCTTCAGATGAGCTCAAGATAATTCTTATGAACAAAGAAAATCATTTGATGTGATAGAATGCCACACCAAACCCACCAGTCTAAAGAAACCTCCATGCTCCATATGTGTTCGCAGAAGTTTCACAATGTCCAGACAATCAATAGGTTTTTTTCTTCTTCTCTTAAATGGGACAGTACAGCATTTACATCAGCATCAGATGCTGAGACATCTCCAAACTTTTTTCAGTGCTGGCACTTCAGAAAGCAACTCAAACATGGACACATCATTCTAACCCAGACACTAAATAGACACAGATATGAATTTAGGGTTTATTATTGTAACCATAACAATAAGGTGGATCTCTCTTTATTTTGACCATCAATTCAATCATAATTGTTCTTTTTATCACAGGCAATAGTTATAATAGTGCACTTTTTATATTTAAATTATTATACAGACATTTCTTTTTTAAACACCTTATTCTACTGACCCCTATGAATAAAGAATAGTTTACAATCTTAGCCCGAGTTGGGACAATGAAAGTGATGGTGGTGTAACAGATAAAACTGATGACAGTGGGCAATCATAAAGAGTAAGGTGAAGCAAACCACTTTGTACATTTTCCGTGTGATGATGGCAGCACAACAAAGGTGAAAAAGCAGACAATCATGACAAAGGGACTAGGCATTAAAGCAAGGGTTAATGTAACTTAGCAAGCACTGAAAGCACAGGGAGAGGGGAGCATTATGTGGCTGTTAAGATTTGGCTTTGTCAGATCATTAAATAAGACTGGACTGGGCGAAACCTGCATTTGTCAGTTCAAACACATCTGCTGCTAAGGTCTGCAATCATTCTAACTCAGTCGTAAATCAACCGTCTCACAAACAGACTTCAGGTAATTGAGATAAGCATGATTAAAAGTGAGGTGAGATGCAAAGATCACTGCACACAGAGGATGAGAGAGCAACTTATCAGCACTGCTATCAAAGCTGTTTTTCTGCATGGAGAGAGGTGCTAAAAAAAAGTGTCAGAGTGACTGATTTGTTATTGATACCGTTGGCATGAAGTTTAACTTTGTAAACAAATATATGATCAAACCCCATTTTTTATAGAAGTATAAATAAATAAACAAATAAATAAACAAACAAACAAATAAATAAATAAATGAAATCATGGAGAAAAATGTACACTTAAAATAGTCCAAATATACACCATTAGCAATGTGGATCTTTCTGACAACATCCTGCACTTTTGTTGCATATTGTGCTGTATGGAAGACTGGTGATGGACATTGACAAGTCTGATCAGAGTACTGGAGTAATACATGAATGTCTGAGTTGCTACGTCTGCTTGCAGAATGGTGCAACCCTGGGTGATGAGCACGGGTGCAGTGATGGACTACTTGACTTGTCGGTGAACACTGAATGTGGAGCGCAGGGTTGGGAGTCGCCAGCTTCCCTTTGTTTAAGTCTTGGACTGACGCAGCAAGCTGGATAAGTCTGGCATTAAGATAATGTCCACTCATGAATTTTCCTTGTTTGCTTTTTTTTGTTGTTTTTTTGTGACAAGTCAGTAAGTGAATACTATGACAACAGGAGACGAGCTCAACAAGAACAATGGTTTCTGTTTGATCCAAAGGCCAGGAATCCAGGTCTGATGAGGATAATGGAACATTTCACGCAGTGTTTTTTTTTCCTTTTTTTTCTCCATATAGTAATGTTCATATTCCCGTTCAAATTCAAAGCATCTCCTCAGAGCAATGAGGGTCCATTGCGAAATCCAAGTTGCAGTGTTCGTTATTGTCTCTGAGTAAGGAGGAAATTCAAAATAATCACTTAACTTTAACAAATGTCTGTCAACAAGCAACTGATCAGCTTTTCCTCTCAAACCCGTTCAATTATTCTTAGCTGTTGTCTTCACTGCGATCACTGTGCTACTAACATCCTCGAAACAAGCATGTAAACATAAATAAAAACTAAATAAAAAAATATTTTTTTCCACATTCACTTACATAGCTTACTTTGTTGGTTTTCTCTACCTCAAGGAAAGCCATTGCTGTAATTCCAGGATGCAGTTTATCTTGAATAAAACAGGACCTTCTGTTTTTCTCTCTCACCTGGTAGAAGGCTAAAAAATTCTTTATGGTCCTTCTGGTGAGACACATTTATAGTTTTTTTTAGTTGGACTGGGATCTTTATGTTTCTTGAAAGTGATACAAGAACACGGGAAAATCCAAAAAATGCTGCTGAGAACCACCACACGACTGCTGCTTCTTCTTGGTGCCAGATAGTGTATTGCAATGATATGGTAAACTAGCCTAACTGGTCATGTCAACACCCTTTAGCAGGCTGATTTGCTAACTGGCATGCACATTAGCACTTCAATAATTCCTATGTTGATTTGTGAAGCTGTGTCTATGATGGATGGATACTAAACTGCTCATTCACATAGAATTTTTTCCACTAAAGGGTGGTTCCCTAACACTTTTGTCTCATTAAGCGGGGGGAAGCCTGCTGATCCCAAAGATCAAGAGGATGTCAAGTTTGCAAAAAATGCATGATGGGAATGACAAGGCTCGATCCCTGCTATGGACAAGCACCTTCATTAATTTACTCAAGGTGTAGCTCATGGCTTGCAGGGAGAAGTGGAAATAAGTTATTGTGTTTGTTTTCCGGTGTTGTTCAGGCATCCTGCAGCGTGGTCTCACTCTCTCTCCTACGGCTGGGATTGGGTTCCATTAGAGGACAGCAGTCGGGTTCTCTCTTTTGCCGAGCCTCTGCGCTGCAGAACTCCCCCGCTGCCTCCGATGCCTCCCCCATCCGCTCGGTCTCCCCACTCGCACCTGTCGCCCCCACCCTCGGAGCGCCTCGAGTTTTGGCGGGTGGGGGTCCCGTGGGGCCGGCCGTTCTTCTCATCTGGGAAGGGATCAGAATAGGAAAACAGGAAAATGATTCTACTGTAAATGTATACATGGTGCATTTCTTAGGAGTTTGAGCAAGAAGGATAGGAATGATCAAACTAATGTGGGTGCATAAAATTGGAGCATGTTTTCTGCTTCTATCATGGGTTCTGCAGCCTAAGACGAGGAAAGGTGAAAGGGGAAAAGTGTTCACTGTAGATAAGTGTGTGTAAGCAGTCTTACCAGATAGGACCTGCACCAGTGGCTGATCATGGGAGCTGAGAAGCTGAGCTTGAATCGTTTCCACCACTCGTCTGAACCTGCGACTCGGGCCTGAGAACGAAAGTTTCAAAGGTATCTAAATGTGTAACTCAGCGGATAAGCGGTTCCAAAAATAGTCAGATATGCGATTAAAATCATACATTAGTTTACAAAATAATAATGCTAAAAGAACTGAATTTAAGCATCAAACCAAAACTGATCAGATTTTCAAACTATATCTACTTTTTTCACACTGCTGAATTTTGGCAAAGAACACCAAATGTTCATAAAATTCCTTTTTAAAAAATAGAGGGTTATTGATCATTTGGCAATCGTAAGCTCAATTCTCTTTCTTTGGGTTCTTTAGCCTTCATACAGTGTCATCCTCTGTTCTCATCTTATCCCACAGACATACAATTATCTGTCACAGTAGTAAGATTTTTTTTTCCTAAAGGAAGCAAACAAATAATATGAATAAGTCCAATAATGTCCTATTTAATATGTCAACAGTTTTTCACAAATCAAAGGGTTTATTTTAAGATGCACTTGCCTGATATGAGGGTGAACGTCACGCTGTAGATTCCTGTCTCCCTCCTGCCTTCTCTCTCGCTCCTCTCCCTGTCCCTCTCCCTCTCGCCCTCGGAAAAGGCAATGTCCACTTGGAACTTGACGGGTTTCTGGAAGACGGAGGGACCTCCGGAGGACTTGTACTCGGCCCGGAAGCTGGTCTGGGAGAGGACGCTGTGGCTGAGAGATGGGATCTGCGTGGTGGGGAGATAGAGAAGAAGCAGAGAGACCGACAGACTTACGAGGCGGGAAAGGTAGAGGGGGCCAACGTGAGTATAGGGAGACAAAGGGTGAGGGTGAGGAGAGGAGAGAGACAGAGTGAGCCATTGGTGAAAGCAAGTGATTTGCCACGAGTGAGTAAGACTAAATGAAAACCAAATGAAGAGATTTGTGAGAAAATGAAAGAATTGAGGTGCACAGAATGAGCGTGCGAGTGAACTCCTCCCTCTCAGAGCCATGCGTTGTGCAACCGAAGTTGGGACTGTGAAACACGAAAGACAGACACCATCAGATACTCACTGACAGGAAAGCGTGGACTATGTCCGCTTTGACAGAACTTAGAGGTTTGTCTCTGATCACCACAAAGATCTGCTCCTCTTTCTCTAAGCCGATGAAATTCCCAAACCACGACTTCTTAGCCAGCCTTGGAGACAAGCAAATTAAAAGAAACAGGTAACAACGTGAGAAAATACAAACGCAAAGCTAAATACCTCAACAATAATCAAACTCCAAGGAGGGACTTACTCTGGACTAGACTCTGGTGTTAGACTGGACATGTCTTCTGATGTAGGAACTGGAACAAACACAGAGTACTGACATTACAAATGCATCTGGAAGTCAGTTGGAGAACAAAACTGAGACTGGGACTGTAAACAATATCAGTGCTTTACGTGTTTTGAAATAGCCACCTACCTAAGTTGTTCCCTACCTGCGTGTTAAAGTCAAACCACCACTGCTACATCCTGGCAAACCTACAGAACCCACCTTGTAGTTTACGCCGATGGAATCGGGGGGAGCCCAGCAGGTTGTTCTTGAAAGAATTGAGGCGAGTCCTCCAGTGCGCGGAGCTGCTGGCCGCCATGCCGCTACCCCCACCTGGGCTGGAGGGCGGGGTCAGCGACAGCGAACCCACCCCTCCCCCTCCCTCCGCCCGTGAGGAGGACGAGGACGAGGAAGAGGAGGGCGGGGTAGAGGAAGGGTGGTGAGGGTGGTGGACAGGGGTGCCCAAGGGTGTGGGCAACGGAGAACCCTGGGGGGTGACCTGCGGCACAGAGTGGGCAGAGTTTGGGTAGAAGCTCTTAGTCACTGACTTCAGGACAGAGGAGGAAGGGAAGAAGAAACGGGGGATGGGTGACAGAAGTGGGGAAGGAGAAGGCGATCGGGAGGATGGGTTGTGCTGAGGCAAAGATTTGATGGGCTGCAGATGGGGTCGGTCGGTGGGTCCTTTGGTGGGCAAAGTCTGGGTCTTTGGGTTGGGGGGAGCTTTGAGCTTGTCATTAGCCCGTGCTGAACGAGGAGTGGTGGTGATTCCCTGTTTGGACTCCTTTGTGAGGGGGGAAGCGGTGGCAGAAGTGACATCTGATTGGCTGAAAGTGAAGACTGGGCTCTGATAGGACTGGAGTGGGTTTGGGAGGCAGGAAGGGTTCAGAGAGATGGTAAACAAGAAAGAGAAGGGATGGAAAATGGAGAAAGAATGGAAATGAATATCATGCTTAATGACAGAAGAGTGCACCTTGTGAACAGTGAAAGAGCAAAACACAATTGTACCAGTGCAGATCATGAAAGCTTTCATTTTGGGCCTTTTCGTGTTTTGTTAGTGCTCTTTGGACGTGAAGGTTTAGTGGCCGTCGTGGCAATGACAGGGTTAAGAATGCAGAAACACAGGAGAGTGGCAGAGAAGGTGTTACTAAAAAGCACCGTTAGTTAAGTATTTTCTCCCGACCAATTATAGACTGTTTTAATAGAGCTGTGAATTTGACAGCATAAGCTAAAACAATCTCACTCTTCCAAACAACCGCCTGTTACAAGATAAGATTTTTAGCATGAGGAGGACGAGTGGCATGGAGACAGAAGGAAATGCAAACCTCCCATTGGGTGAGAATTTCATTTGAGGAACTGGTGATTTGATCATTTAAAAATGACTGTGGGCATGAATACATGGATATTCTAAAAGAGCTGTAAAGAGCAGTTAAATTATTTTGAAACAGAGAATTGTTGAGGGGGGCAAGATCAGCAGCCATCAATGATTTAAAACATTTAAAAATGGCATAACATAATATCCTATCATTGTTAAATCATAATAAATCATTATCATAGTTAGTTGTAACTATATTACGAGTAATAAATAAAATTAAAATAAAATGTAAAAATGAATCATCATAAATTGATTTTGTAAAACTGTTCTAAAACATACAGACAGCAGAGATCAAACATTAAATCACTGTCTATCTTAACAGTAATATTTCAAAATTGGTTTTGAGATGGATTTAAGTTTAAACACTTAAACACAATGTGGACTTTTGTCTTCTGTGGAAAAATAAACCTCTCAGGCAATTGGGAATTACGGCAGAACACAAATTACATTTTTGGTCTAAGAATTTCAATTCGGTAACATAAATACGAATTGCTGAAAATTCAGTTTTAAAATAATGCAGAAAGATGGTGATACAGAGGTGTGTTCTGCAGTCAAAGGCTGGATATCAGACCCTTACCCTAGGACTGCTGAGAGGGCTGGAAGAGAGCCCACTCGAAGCTCCACTGACTGAGCGAGACCTGACAAAGACACAAAGGTTTAGTCTAACCACCATAAACTCTTTCAAACAGAATCATTGCATTCACGGTAGAGCTCAGAGCATTTAGAGTATAAAGAAAGTTTGAGAATGAATCATTGTACCTCTGGCTGTGGGCAGCTGTGTCCAGAGCCCTGCGAGGTGGGGTGGGGGACCCCTGCTCAGTAACACTGAGCACTTCCAGGCTTTTCCTCTCTGGACGGCAGCGGCCGTGGCGCGTCAGCATGGGAGAGTCAACACGCTTTCGAGGAGGGTCTGCTGGGGGACACCACAACAACTGCATTTCATATTTTTAAGCCATGCCAGATCTACTTTGATCTGTGTAAGGGCCGCTCCCAACCAGCCATCAGCAGGATTACTGCTTGTAAAACGTCTATCTTTAAAACTGTAACCTCTCCCAGTTACCAATAAAAGTGGAAGGTGTGCATCCGGCAGATGTCCTTTCAGGTCTCGTGTGGAGTTCTCTCACTTGTCTTAATATTCCTTTATTTTTTTTACGGTATCATAAAGGATAAAAACATTTTTTTCCAACAACTCAAACCGGCACAAACATCTGTCAACACATGCTGATAATTTATTTTGTTTAAGAGTGTAAGGAAAAGGTAACCTCGAATGCACCTGCAACGGTGCAGAATCCAGGCTCAAAGACATTGTCCAAGTCTGAAAAAGTAGCCTCTTCCTTTGATTGGATCCCTCCTGCCCCCTAATGACTGACCTACATCATTGCGTGGAGGTAAGTCCTCATCTTCATAGCTAGGGTAGCGCTCTTTCCTGTCCAGCAGTAGGTAATATATCATCTTTTCCTGGTTTTCTCTGTGACAAACAGAAAAAAAGGTTTGCCTAAGTGTTCTGTATGGTACAGAATAAGAATGTTGTCATGTTTAATTACAGCAAAATAACTAACGTCGCCATCAAAGTTAAAACAAACTCACTCTTCACATTGCAGATCCCGTGTGAGCTTGACTCTGTCTCTGAAACATCCCAGTGAGTGCATGCTGTCCAACACATCTGGGTCCAGCTCAGTTAGGGACAAGATGCGCCTCACACACACTCGCCTCGGAGGTGGCTGCTCAGGACATGGCTCATTACGGCCACCCCTGTGGGAAACACACACAGGCATGACATACGACAAAAGATGCAGCGACAAAATGGTAGGCATTTTTTTAGATACAACATGACGCAACATTACTGAAACAGCCAAGCACGGAAAAATAAAGGTATACTCACAGATACCAGGGATGTTTCTGGATGGCCTCTAGCTGTAAGGGGTGACAGGGCAGATGGGGCCATTAGTTCCTACAGTCTGTTAACAGCCAGATGGCTACAGAGCTGTGTGGTGCAAACAGCTTTTTGTTTGCTTTTACATACATCAAATGGCAATTTCAAATTCTTTAATGGTTGAAATTATGAGCAAACATACTGCACCTCAAAGGTTGTGACCGACTGTATATATTAAAAATAATTAGCACTGAGCACTTGAAAGCATTGAAAAACCTAGACAGCTGATTCAATAACTACGACCAACAACTACAACAGAATTGAACCCAGCTGTAAATATGATAAAACTATTTCTAGACATTGTTTAAAATCGTCCGATTAGTCACGTACTGTGAGCCTTTTCTCAGGGTTGACCTCAATCATGCCTTTGAGCAGGGACTGGCAGTCTGGAGGGATGAAGTGGGGCATGTGGAACACCCCGCTCTTCACCTTCTCCAGAAGCTGGCGTAAATTGTCATGGTCAAAAGGCAGGGCACCCTGTGGGCAACGGAGGACAGAAAAAACATTTGATGGAATAATGTGGCCAAACACAGGCCAGTTATCTACAAAGAGATCCAACTGCGCAGCAAAAATATGAACGGAAGACAGACCACCAGCAGAGCGAACAGGATGACCCCACAGCTCCACACATCTGCTCTCCGCCCGTCATATTTCTCCCCCTATCAAACACAGAGTGAACATAAATCCTTTCACCAACACGGAAACAAAAACTATTCCAAATAATTGCCAACACTCACTGAGGTCGTTTAAACTGATTTAAGGATTAAGTAAGATTATACTCTGACTCTGTTGCTTTCAAAAGAAACCCTGTAATCCATTTTAATTCCTGCACTTTTTCAATCTCAGTCTGCAGCCCTGTGAAAGCGACATGTCATTAACAGGGCTTCATAATCTTCTGAGGGGAGTGCCATTAAGATTCTCTCTGACTGGAAATGAGCTTCACAAAAACAGCAAAAGTGACAGAATTTCCATTCTTTTTGAGAGTTTTTATCATTTTGTTTAATGATTTTTTCAGATCGTTAGTGTCCCCGGTCGGCGTTCAGATCATGTAGCGGTGTGTATTTGCCTCTGAGTTAATAATTCATTGGCAACATGTGCTCATTTTCATTACAGGTGAAGGTATCTGAGGACGACACTGTAAAAGAGCCGGTCTCTTACCCGTATGACTTCAGGGCAAGCATAATGTGGTGATCTGAAATCAGAGCAGAATATGTTGCAGGAAGCTTTATCATCATTTTAAATACTAAGATGTTGATAGGCTTAGTAATGACTGAAAATCTAAAGAACCTTTTTTTTTTAAAGTAAGCCTACTACATCTATCCAGAAAAACACTGTTTAGGGAGAACATCTGACGTAAAATGTTTACAATTTGCATCACGAATATGAATATATAATAATTCTTCAGTGTGAAAACATAACTGAGCACACACAGAGATGATACTCACCCACAGCTGGTCTCCAACAGACTGTCTCCCACTTGTAGGGAGGCCATGCCAAAGTCAGCTATACGAATGTTGTTCTTTTCATCCAGGAGCAGGTTCTCCGGCTTAAGGTCTCTGTGACTGCACAAATAGAAAAAATAAAGCAGCAAGTCTTAACGGTGCAGAATGTCGCATTTAAACTCTGTGACGGCTTTGAAAATGCTCCTTTCATAATAACTCAGGCTACAAGATAAGAAGCTTCTTTCATTCATTGGCAAAGTCAACTGATTCTTTATTATTTAAATGTGAGAGCTCAAAATAGCTTAGTAAGACAGCAGAGAAACTCAAATGATCTTTCAAGATTTGACCAAGAAACACTGCTCTGGAGAAAAACCTACCAGATGGAATGACTGTGGCAGAAATCCAAAGCAGAGATGATCTGCCTGAAGAACTTTCTAGCCTCTTTGGGAGTTAGTCGGCCCTTCTTCACCAGGTAATCGAAAAGTTCTCCCCCTGACACGTGCTCCAACACCAGATACCTGTTGACAAACAATAGCAGCGGTGCAACTTGAACATTTAATCTCTAAATAAAAGGATGTGGAAAAAGGAATTTATTCTAACCAAGGGCTCTTATTATAATCGCATTATAGACTTTTCATGCAACATGTAGAGAAGAACTTATACACTTTTGCTGACCTCTGTATTTGACCTGCAGTATTTTCATGAGTGTGTATTTACATAGAAATATTAGTGACACTTTAGCCAGCATGTTAAGCATCAAGGTTGTTTTAGTACATTTTCTGAGTAAATATTAAATATTACATTCATATATTTCTAATTCTTCTAATCCTTCATCCATCGCTTTTGTATGTGTTTATATTATTCATTAAATTATGTTTATGTTCATACCATGTCACTCTAAAGATCAGTATTCAGCCAGAAAGCATGCGAGAGCCAGACGCATCTGAATGCAGAAGAAACTCACAGGTATTTGTTATTCTCGTAAACATCATGCAGCTTCAACACATGCGGATGCTCAATCAGTTTCAGAATGGCAATCTCCCTCTCAACCTAGTAAGACAAAGCAGAGGGGTATAAAGACAAAGACGAGGATATGAAAGCAGGACACACAGATAAGTCAGTCACCTTACTGAAGCATCAGCACCGACAATAAATAACTACGACAATGGACCAGTTTCTTTATAGCTTCACACTTGATGCCATTTACAAAATTAGCAATCTGATCTTCGCTGAAAACATCAACGTATAAAGCGTCAAACCATACCTTCATCAGGACTGACTCGGACAGCTTCTCTCTGTTGACTATTTTGATGGCTACCTTCTGACCCGTAATACAATGGACCCCCAGTTTGACCAGTCCTGTCAGACAAAAATAACAGTGAAAGGGCATGACAGATTTGATACTGTTCTAATGTTTGGCATTAAAAAAAGCTTGTACTCACCTGTCTGTCCCTTTCCCAGCGTCTTCTCCAGTCGGTAGGGCCCAACATATTGAGCTGACTGACTCAGAGACAGTTCCTTACTCATACTGCTCTCACTTAATACACAACTATAGCGTGTACTGCTCCTTGATTTTTGCAATTAGGGTGATATTGTACAGCTCACACAGAGGTTGTTGTAGGATACAGGATGATGCTCAATTTGGAGGGGAAGCCTTTTTTTTTTAACCTAATCAGTTACTTACAAGTAACATGTTAAAAATGCCCAAGTCAAACAGTTTAGACACATTGATGATTAAAAAGAAATTAGGCGTGTTCCTCTGAACCAATATCTGAGCAATATTTGTTCGCGGCCTATACCAAGGTATAAAGGACATGAATATTTGACGAAAGAGCTTGCTTTTGACAGATTACAGCAGAGAAACTGAGATGACAGTTAGGTTCACTGGCTGTTTTCTATGCTAAATACTGACCACTAACCGAAAAAAAAAAAAACATGACAAGGTAATGTAGGCAAACTACAGAGTTTTACTTATGTACATTAGCTTATTTCTATGACTTGCCCCGTCAATTGTATGACGGTAACTATATCTGACGGTTAATAAGAAAAGGTATAGCCTTTAAACAGCCAAGTTTTCACACCAGCTGGAAAGATTATATGCCACTTGCTGTTCGGGAATTTCAAGGAAACGTCCAAAGCGTTAATTAGTTGTTTGCGCAGAAAATGAAATCAATGTTATTCTCACTGTCAGGCCTATTTCACAGGTGCAACAACATGCTATTTTAGCCTCGCCGCCGCTCTCCCACACAGCAGCGAGGCTAGCTTTAGCCTCAACGCCTCGTCCAACGGCCGTCTCGCGCGCGCCGCCTGTCAAAAAAACCGACACCGCCTGAAGTTTCTAGGCATCGCCAAACGGTCACATTTATCGGACGGCCACCGCATTCTCACAATAGGTCGAAATGAAGTCAGAATTTCTAGCCAAACCACCATTTTTTTTTAAGTGTAGTCCTCCCCCTCCCAGCTTCCACTCGTCTCTGCCTCCCTACATCACTGCAAGTAGCGGATCACAGCATCTTCGCCTCTCTCCTTTGGCGTGTCCTCCTCCCTCACCAGCTGACACAGGTGAAAAACACACGAATCAGCCCGCACGACTATCAGCTCCCGTGTCCCTCTCCTCACTCCTGATTATAGTTCACGCAAGGTAAAGGCCCCTCGTATGATACTCCGTTTTCATGCCGTAAATCGATATTTTCTCTCCCCTCTTCCTTCCTTCGCCCCACTCGCATCAGCATCCGGGTCTCACTCCCTCTCCATCCTCTCTCCTCTCCCCCGCCCTGGACTTGCCTCCTCCTCCTCCTCACCGTCTTCCTCACAACACGCGTATCTCTGCATTCACCTCACCACCGGCCACACTGTGGACCCCGTGAGCCGCAGAGGACACCTCCCTCTCAGAAATTATGAAAGACATTTGTAAACATCGCTTCGGGCTCCGGATGGGTCTGTGCTGGTGGAGGGGATGCAGAGGGACTGGGCGGGCCAGTAGTAGTTGGATTTGCATTTAGACTACTTTGATATGTTATCTATTTCCTCCAGAGAACTGCTTTTATATATCTACATACAATATATATATATACATTAATAAATTAATAAATAAAAACATATATGTATATATACATAAATATATACATAGCTATATACATGTATGTACGTGTGTGTGTATTAAATAAATAGAATACATGATGTTTGATACATGATTTTTCCCAAATAATGCTGCTAATGTTTACAGAGACTTATTTCTTTTGTAAAATGTGTTTCCTTTGTACCCCATACTGATATTTCTTTGGTATTGAATTTGGGTAGTTGAATTGAGAGTGTAATTGAGAATTGAGAATGCAATATGAATAAACATCCTCTTGTTAGCCCATTTTGATCCAAGAGCTCCCTAGTAAACATCTCCCCCTCCTTTAGTTCACACGTATTCTTTATTTTTAGGTCCTGTACAAAGTGGAGCTCTCCAAGATTGCTGCCATTTCCTTCAATATTGTGCAACATTCTTAGGATATATATTAGAATTTGAATAATGAACTGAGGACATCAATCTTTTCATTTAAAAAATAAATGGCTTACAATAGAAGATATCTTAAATTAAGTAATAACATAAAAGTAGTTTCCTTTTATCTATACTTATTCTTAATCATACTTTTGGGAATAGTTGGTTATTTTTACATTGTATGGCTAGCTTTACACAATGCTGCCATATGACAGATTTATGGCAAAAACTTCCAACTTGATGGTGCAAAAAAAATTGTTTCTCTGCTAAGCAGTTTTTTATGTGTACAGCAAGAATCAGTGTACTGGAAAACAACTCCAAATCACATAGATTTAAGACACAACGGTGTTGAGTGTTGCTTTCAATCATATTTTGATGAAAATGCTCTGGGCGCGTGAAATTGAGCTAAAATCAACCAATAAAAACATAGAAATTCTGCTTTGTTGCCAAATATAAAGGAGGATTCAGTCAGAAACGTTTCACAGTACTGTTCTTCAGAATTTTACTACTGGAAATGTCTGTTAAACATAACATGTTATTTCAAACCAAAAGTGTAAAGAGCTTGAAACTTCTTGACATCTTTAACATTCATGACAGACCATACTACAGGACTAAACGCCAAAAGCCTGAACAAATCCACACTTTTGACTGGAACTAAATACATATAGTGATGTTTTTTTTTGCCAACATATTTTTATTGAGTTTTTACATTTTGGAAATACAAGCATGTAGTTATTTGAACAGGTTCTCTTTGTAGTCATTACATGACAGTAAGTATTTAACTCAACCCAGAGAAATAAAATACAACAACAAAGAAAATAATAAAAAATAATAATAATAATAATAAACAGAAGAAAAAGTCAAAGACAAAACAAAGAACACAGCTTCTCAAAAACTGGGGTATTCACAAAGAATACAAATTGGTCAGATATAATTATACACATCTATACAACATGGCACACCACAGGTTCTGGCAGATCAGAACTCAAACAAACCCTCTGTCAAGTCTAAGTCCTTAATAAAGTTAATGAAAGGTCCCCAAATCCTCTCGAAAAGATACCGTTTGGATTTCCTAATATATGTTATTCTTTCTAGCGGCAAATTAGACGACATCTGTTTTAACCACTGCGTGACACTAGGTCTATTGATATTTTTCCAAGTTAAAGCAATACATTTTTTTGCGGCCAATGAGCTTATATCTATGAAAGTGCGTTCTGATTTACTAAAGTTATGTTCCCCAGGGAATAAAGCTAGCAGAAACAATTTAGGATCCAGTGGAACTTGCTTTAAGATAATTTTTTCAACTATATCTTTCACCTCTGTCCAAAATGCTTTGATTTGTCCGCATTCCCACATACAATGTATTAGAGTCCCTTTAGAATTACATTTTACACAAAGATCTGGGATGTTATTATTATATTTATTTAACTGCACAGGTGTAACATAGACACGCATTAGCCATTTAAATTGTAGAATTCTAAGACGACTGTTTATGGACATTGTGTGAATTTTAGTGCAAGCCTTTTCCCACTCCTGTTCACTGATATTTGATGATAAGTCAACATTCCAGTTTATAAGCTTATTATTTGAGTCCTCTAACGAGTTAGAGATCAGCACATTATAAAGATCTGAAATGATGCCCTTCCTGGATTTATTCCGAATCATTAATTTTTCAAGTAACGTAAGAGGGGGCTTGTTAAGATTGTTGTAATTTGCTTTAACAAAGCTTCTTATCTGAAGAAATTTGAAGTAATGTTTTTTATCCAGATTAAATTTGGTTTGTAGCTCTGCAAATGACATAAATATATCAGAATTTGATGGGTAAAGGTCACCGACAGTTTTTAAACCTTGCAGTGCCCAAAGCCTAAAGGTTCCATCCGCTCTACCTGGAGCAAACAGCTGATTACCCCATATTGGGCTAAATTGGGATATGTTGTTCGGCTCCGCAAGGTAATTTCTAACATCCTGCCAGATTTTTATCATGTTTTTCAGAATGGGATTTGTAGTATGTTTCTTTAACTTCGTTGATGTGTCAGAGTATATGAACAATGGAAGAGCTAAACTTAAATTGTGGGACTCCATTTCTACCCAGTGAGGATTATCTGTATCTGTAAAATAGAACATAATAGTCCTTAACTGAGTGGCCCAATAATAAAATTTAAAGTTGGGACACTTTAACCCCCCTCTATCAAATGGTAAATAAAGCAGCGAGAGGCGTAGCCTAGGCCTTCCATTATTCCACACAAAAGCCAAAATGTTTTTTTTTAGCCAATTGAATAATTCAGGAGGAGGCGGCAGTGGAATGCTTTGAAAGAGGTATAACAGCTTTGGAAGTATATTCATTTTCAGGACATTAATTCTTCCCAATATGGATATAGGCAGAGATGTCCAGTTGTCAATTGAGGCAGCTATTGTTTTCATTAAGATTTCGTAATTGGATTTGACCACCTGTTGTAGTTCTGGGAAAATCTGAACACCCAAATATGTGAAATGTTCCACTACTTTAAATTGCTTAATCTCACTGATAGGGTTAATTCTTTCACCTGGATTTAATACCAGAATAGAGGATTTTGTATTATTTACTTTGTAGCCAGAGACTCTCCCAAATTCCTGGATCACTTCCATCACCGCTGGAATTGAGTTTTTCAGATCTGTTAGAAATAAAATAACATCATCAGCGAATAGAGATATTTTGTGCTCTGTGGGACCCACGGTGATCCCAGAGATTTGTGAATGGAGACGAATAGCTGATGCCAAAGGCTCGATTGCTAGTGTGAACAGCAAGGGAGATAGAGGGCATCCCTGACGACAACCCTTCCTGATTTGAATCGCCCTTGAAAATATTTTATTTGATACTATTTCCGCAGTTGGATTTTTATATAATATTTTAACCCATTTAATAAAGTTGCTACCACAATTCAATCTTTCCAATATGTTAAATAGATAGGGCCATTCAACCCTATCAAAAGCCTTCTCTGCGTCCAATGAAAGAAGAGCTGTGTCTTTAGCGTTCTTTTTTGACCAAATAATATTCAGGACCCTTCTAATATTGTGGTATCCCTGCCTCCCAACTACAAATCCATTTTGATCTTTATTAATAATATCTGGTAAGATTTTTTGCAGTCGGAATGCCAATAGTTTACAAATGATTTTGAGATCAGAGTTAAGTAGGCTGATGGGTCTCAGGTTTTCACATTTATTGGGAGGCTTAGCAGGTTTTGGCAGGAGAATAATTAGAGCCTGATTTAATGAGGGAGGCAAGGTGCCCTTTTCAAATGACTCCATGAACATGTCTAGAAGGGGACAGAGCAATTTGTCCCTAAATTTTTTGTAAAAGTCAATGGGGATGCCATCAGGTCCTGGTTGCTTACCGGATTTCATTCCATTAATGGCTTGTGCTAATTCCTCTTTATTTATTTCCATATTTAAGTCTACTCTACAATCTTCTGCAATGACAGGAATATATAGTCTACCCAAAAAATTGTCTAATTCCACTTGGTCTAACTGTCCTTTAGAGTCATATAATTTCTGATAATAATCTTTAAAAGCATTATTAATATCCCTTGGATCTATCAGAGTTTTATCCTGTGTTTCAATTGTTGTAATTGAGGTTGTTGTTTCAAGCTGTTTAATCTGCCAAGCTAGAAGTTTCCCAGCCTTGTCCCCCTGTTCATAAAAGTTTTGCTTCAATCTTAAGAGACTGGATGCAGCTCTAAGACTGGACATTTTGTCATATTCTGCTCTGAGAATCAACAGCTGTTTTTTCAATTCAGTATCATTTGTTTGAAAAACCCTCTCCTGAATGTTTTTTATTTTATTTTCTAGGTGCTGCCTTTTAGTTTTGGCTTCCTTGGACTTATTGCCTGTAAAGCTAATAATATGACCTCTGATAAACGCTTTAAAGGCCTCCCATCTGATGCAAGCTGTTGTTTGATTTGTGTTAAACTGAAAGAACTCATCAATTTGTTGTCCTATATATTTAACAAAATCCTCATCTTGCAACCATTTATGCTGAAAACGCCATTTAGGGGGATCCCTGGTAAGATTCTTATCACAGTAGCTCAGACAACATGGAGCATGATCTGAAATCACAATGTTTCCATACATACAGTTTTGAATTTTTGATATTAGTTCTGATGAAATTAGAAAATAATCTATTCGCGAATAAGACTGAAATGTTGCTGAATAACATGAGTAGGCTCTGGTTTGTTGCTGAAGTTCCCTAAAGATGTCTACCAGTCTAAGAGTTTTCATAAACAACTGTATAGTTGT